TTTCAAGTGGTCATAAATTGAGTTCGTACCTAACCTTTTGTGTGTGCGTTGAGCGATACAAAATCACCTTGCTCTGCCTCACAAAACTTAGTGCAATTTTTGTATATATTTTACAAAGAAAAAAAGGTAATTTTCAAAATTTCCACTATTTTTTTTTTTTTTTTTTCATTATTCTTTTTGATTTAGTGTTTGATTATTCTAAAATTAATCAACATTCTTGATTTTTTCTTTTATACATTAAATTGTATTATATTTTTTTATTTTCATTGTCAGTTTTCTTGTCTGACTTAAACTTTCTATTTTCACTTGCTGATCTGTGTTGTGGTCCTTCCGAAGTAGAAACGGATAGTTATAGTAAGACATACTTCATCTTCGGTTCATTGAACTAAATTATTTCGTTTTTTTTTTTTTTTATAATTCTCAAGTAATTAAAATAATTTTCTTTATTCATAGTTCAAAAAATAGCATTTATATTTTTTTCAAGTAAAATGACTTGTTTTATTTTTAACATTGTGTGTATATAATCACGTGTGACATCGATAGCATCTGTGCGCAATAAACTAATTGGTTATTGAATTAACTTTACACGGCATAAGTCAATAATCCTTAATCACAACAAAAGAGTGTACGTGAACTTTCAATTCCAAACTAATATTTTGAAAAAAAGAATTCTAAAATATGACTTTAAATTTCAAAAAAAATTAAATTAAGGAATTTAAAAATATTCTCTTAATGGTTTAACAAAATTTCTTTTAAACTTTTTTCCCAAAACAATTTTTTTTCACAATTTTGTTCTTATTTTGTGAATGATTTATTATTCTCATCTGACACTCAATGTATTTGCATATAACACTGAAATATAAACTCCACGAGAATGTCGAAAAAAAAAAAAAAATGCTAATGAATTGAACATGAAAAAGGAAAGTGATTTTAACACCGTGCTCTGCATTCATATGATTATATTATAATAACTTCCTGGACAATTCGGGGGATATTTTTTGGTGTATAGGAAATAAAGATTGATACTTTGCGATAAAAAAAAAAAAAAGAAAAATGTACACTGACCTTCTTACTGATCGTGACATTTTTAATTGAAGACAGTAATCGAATGTCACTTGGATTTATCCTTGATGGTTCGCAACATAACAAATACTAAAGAACAGAAGGTCGGCATCAAGTTTCACTAAAGTATTGTTGACCGTTTATCGAACACTTTTATAATAATTAAGGTCATCGTTTTGCTTGAGGGAACAAATTTGTCTACGCTTTTCTTTTTTTTTAACTTTGCAATTCATTCTCAATATAAAGAAAAACGGATTTTTTTTTTTTTACAAAAAATAGAGACGAAATTAAAAAATAAATTAATATATTGTATCTTCTAATTTGTTTCTATTTCAATTTCAAAATAACGATGTCTTATTCAGAACGTTAAATTTGAAATTTTATTTTTGAAAAAAAAAATTCTTTCTTTTATAATACACGTACTTGACTTAGCCCAGTGTGGAAAATTCACTTGGGAATAAATATTATGCGTATAACTTTGGTATAAAACGGAAAACATAGTAGTTCAAGGTTTTAGGTGTTTTTTTCATAAATACATAGGTTTCGATTTTCAATTATAATATTCCCTCCCCCCCCCCCAAAAAAAAACTAATATTCTATTTCCGATCGAATTCTTAAAAGTTCAAATTTTTATCAAACCGAATTTTATATGGTAAAATTTACCTATTTCAAAAGATTTCTTGTAAAATTTTATTTATTTAAAAGTCAGAGAGTGTAAGGGATTTTAGGAAATATAAAATGAAAAAATTTACGACTTCATTTTTTTAAAGTTGTCTTAAAAAAAGATGTAATCTAAAGAAAAAGTGATGGATGAGATGATTGTAGCTGCTTACATATGACCATGGCATTTTATTGGCGTACGTTTATATTTGCGCCATGAAAGTGGGCGATGGTCAGACCTTCGTTAAAAGAAACGCCCTTAAGAAAGCATATTTGATCCATTATCCTCGCTATTAATTATCGTTTCCTTGGCACTCCTCAATTATTTATTCAATTTTTCTTTGTCATTTTAGCCGGATTTTAAGGAAGAATTGGTCGTTTAATTTGAGATTAAAAAAAAAAGTTAAATTCAAGAACGCATTTTTCTTTTTATTTATATATTCCTATAAATGCAAACTAAAGTTTTCACTAATTCGTTATTATTTTTTGGTATAGAAATAACCTTTAACGGCTCACTGGTGATAAAATAAAAATTATCGACACTTTAATTTAAGAAAAAGAAAAAACAAGTTGTTATTTTGAGTAATGCTTGTTGTCGTTTGGGTTTTTCTAAAAAAAAAATTTTTTTTTTCTTGTTACAAATTTTTGATATTTTAAAATTAAATATTATTTGATGTAATAAAACTGTATGAAACGTTTGGAATTTAGTTTTTGAAGTTTGAGGATTAGTAGAAAAAGTCAGTTTCAGTCAGACTTAAATTCTTTTTATTTTAATATTGGTAGAAAAATTCAGACTAATTTTTTTTGGAATTCTTTGTTTGATTTAGTAGTAAAAGTCACATTTTAGTAAGACGAAGCTTTTCTGCGATTTCTTGTATATTTTGATGCAAGTAGTAAAAGGCAGTTTCAGTCAGACGTAATTTTTGTTTATTTTAGTTTTAGTAGAAATATTCAGTTCTACACAGACGATTTTTTTCTACTCTCTAAATCTGAATTAGTAAAAATGTTTACTAATTTGAATTAGTGACTCACTTTTTGCTTCTGAATTAGTTAAATTTTACTAATTGTTAGTAAAAGTTACTAATAATTAGTAAGATTTTACTTATTCAGAAGCAAAAAGTGAGTCACTTATTCAAATTAGTAAAAAATTTTACTAATTCAGATTTAGAGAGTAAATTCTTGGTTTGAATTAGTAGTAAAAGTCAGATTTAATCAGACGAAGCTTTTATTCTATATTTTAATTTTAGTAGTAACATTCAGTTTTAGTTCAGAATTAAGTTCTTTTGTTTTTTAGTGACAGGTAGAAAATTTCAATTCGAGACAGACTAATTTTTTTTTGAATTCTTAGTTTAGTACAGTAAAAGTCACATTTAGTCAGACGAAGCTTTTCTTGTATATTTTTGATGTTAGTAATAATTTTTAATTAAGTATTATTGTGATTTTAGTGAAAGTCAATTTCAGTTTCACTTAATTTCTAGTGATTTTACACTGTAAAAAGAAAGTACTAAAATAGTACCAATTTTAGGTATCAAAATAGAACCAAATGACAATTTAGTATACCTAAAATTGGTATTTAATTAATACCTTTCGTTTTACAGTGTAATATAAGTAGTAGAAGTCAGTTTAGTCAGACAAAGGTTTTAGGATTTTTTTTTAAATTTTGTATCAGTAAAAATCACTTTTAGTAAAATTTCAATACTTTGAATTATATAATTTAATAATAATTTAATATAAAGTAGTGATTTCAGTAGTGCAAGTCACTTTCAGTCAGACTGAAATTATATTGTTCCAGTTAGACTAAGTTTGTACTAATTTTTTTTTTATGTATCATCAACGATTCGGGAAGAAATTAAAATTTTTATAATATTCGCACAAGTAGTAATAGACACTTTTAGTCAGACAGAAATTATTCTTAATTTTTAGTGTTTGAGTAGTAAAATCCCATAATAGTCAGACTCGAATTTTTCAAATTCTTGAAATTTTAATATAAATAGTAAAAAATAGTTGTATTGAAACGGAACTTTTCTAATGTCTTTTTTTTGTTATCAGTAGTAGAAGATAGTATTGTTCAGACACAGGTCGGGGAACTTTTGCGTCTTTGAGAGATTGAGATCAATTTTTACCTTCAATCAGTTTGAATATACATGTCTGACCTTACGCTTACCACGATAGACAACCTTCAGGGTTGGTAGTAGCAGAATCATCTTGTCGATAAAAGGGTGTGTCATTGTCCACTGAACCTCCAACCCCCAACTCTTATCAGTCACGCGATATACTATAAATAGATATAAAGTGTGTCTGAAGGTTCATAATTCAATTAATTATACATATTCTCTAATAATACAAAAAATTAGTCCCTCTTCTATTATCTGTATACACTTCGAATTTAATTCAAATCGCTATCTTAATTTTTTTTAACAGTCAGAAAAAACATTGAATAATAAATAGAACAGATAACATTTTTTTCGTTATATATATATATATATATATATATATATATATATATATATATATATATATATATATATATATATATATATAAGAAGTATATATATATATATATATATATATATATATATATATATATATATATATATATATAGAGAGAGAGAGATAAGCGATGAATTTTAAAATATTCATTTTGACATTAAATTTTTTACGTTTACTTTAATTTATTTGCATAAAAGAAATATTTTTTTTTTGTAATATTTTTTAAGATTAGAAAATATTACGTGCTTGTCTAATGCACATTCTTTGAGGTTTTTAACTATATCGCATTTTTTTTCGCAGTGTGAAAATACCATTTTGCAGAGAAATTTTCTTCAGAGAATTTCTTTTTTAGAATTAAAAATTGTTAATCAATTTTTATGAACCAAAAGTTTTGAACGTTCAAATGAACAAAATTTTTTTTATAACTTCTTTAAGTACGAATTTTATTAGAAAATATTGTTTTAAATATCTAAAAAGAAGTTATTAATGTAATATTTGTTTAATTTACTGTTTTATTTTACATTTCTAATAATTTATAAATTGAAAAAAATATTTTGTTCATTTGAACGTTCAAAAATTTTGGCTTATGAATTTTTGAATATCATGTGAATTTTAGAGATTCTTGATTTTCTCTTATTGTATATATATATATATATATGAAAAACAGTATTTCCGCGTGTAATGATATTTCCCACTTTTATTTCTTATTCGCGTGGGGATTACTCTCCCTCCCACTATTGTTACCTAGCAAACATACGACACCTGTCGTAAGTCTGTGCTGGCAGACCACGAGCAAACTTCTTTACAACTTTACCTACACATCACAAACTTCTATAATACCGGTGTATATGGATAACCTGCGCAGGTTCATCAAAAAAACTCGTGTAGTTTATACTTGATAAAATCCCTATTATATTGTTCTTCACACAACGTTCACGACGAACTACGGACCAAATTTCTCATAAAAAATTTAATTTTTTTTTTTACAAAAATTTAATTTATTAAAACATTTTTCTCAAATTTTTTTTTTTTTTCTTTTTTTAATTCGTGAGTGTACATATGTCTGTCATTTGTCAATGTGACAAAATTAGAACTCTCCCACTAGTCGTGATATTTCGAGAAACTCTCAATTTTCAACGACTTCTATTTTTAATCAAAAAAAGAAGTTTAGATAAATTTGACATTTTTTTTAAATATAGAATAATTTAGGATTCTATAACAGAAGAAAATTTTGATATGGTGTAAAAAAAAAAAGTGGTGTGTCCTTAAAAGTGGATGAGAATTATTTTTGTGTTAACATTGCTGTGAATCGTTTTGGACACACAATATAATTTGACGTGTGTATATATATATATATGATGATGATGTATATATATATATATGATGATGATCTATATAACATAGTGTGTTGCAGTTGTTGAATTTCGATTGGGAATCGTGAACAAGTTTTTTGCGCGGGCACGATGTGAATAAACCGGTTGAAAATAATTCTACGAGATTGCGCTCGTGTCTTCTCTTCTCATCAAAAATGAAATAACTTTGAAAAATGAAGCACGTATGTTCTAATATATAGAGAAAAAGGGAGATTAATTGAAAATTAATATAGAAATAAATGAGAGGAGGAAAAAATTTTATTAGACTTTTTTTTGGGGGAAAAAAAAAGTAAAGTTTGAGAATCGCAAAGAGAAGAATGTAAAAATAAAGGTAATCGTACAGCAGATGGGAAATGACTAAATGAGAAAAATGAACAAGTTTTAGATCGGAAATAGTGTTACCACCACTTCCAATTCTTCCATCCCTAAGTATATCCACTTCCAATGTGACTTCCCTTTCTCTCTCTCTCTCTCTCTCTCACTCTCTGCATCACTTGTTGTACCCCACTCATCAGGATTTTTCGTCTTTGACTATATAGTCAATCCGGTAGACGTGCATTATCATCTCGTTTGTGTGTACAAACATGACATTCGAAAGAAGTACACGCGTCTGTCGACCTCCATATACATTACGATCATTATCTCTTTGGCTGATGGACATTCGATGAACATCTGTAACCTTGAGATTTCTTTCGTTTTTAAAGTATATATATATATAATACATTCTGATTAGATTTAATAAATGGCCTTGCTATGGATTTTTGTCTGCACTAGATCTTCAAATAATTCCATTTTCTTCATTGTATAATAGTTTTATGTTGCAATATTTGCACCTTCATTAAAAAAGAAGAAAAGCTTATGGAAAATTTTCAGATTTCAATATTTGGAAATTTAATCTGTGTATGATTTTTATCTTATTGAAGGAGTATAATAATGAAGTTTTAGCAATGAAAAATATGTTAGGCAAAATGATCTAAGAATTCTTTATAAGTATATAAAATTAAAAGTATTATAGTGGTGAAGACATCTATGCGCGTTTTGTGTGTCAAGTGATTGGCTGTGATAAAAACAGTGCAACTAGAGCAAATAAATAAATTTAGTAAAAAGTGTCTTTTGTGGAATAAAAAAAAAAAAAAGTTCAATGCAATTCAGGAGCTTTAATACAGTGACGAATATTCGTCGGACTTTTTGTTTTACTTCTCGTTTTACTTGGAGTTTAAAAAGATTATTACCGTGCTATTAAAATCAGCAAAAAAAAGAAGGTGATAATAATGAGTGTCACGGAAATTGTGGAAATGGATCCTAAGAATCAATATGACGTAGAGGGGGTTGAGGGTGAGTGAGAGATATATATATATATACTTTTTTTAGACAATATTCGAGAGAGAAAACTATATGAGTCTACTATTATAAATTCTGATTAAATTTTCTTATTGCTTATATATATTTTTTTTTGTATTCAACTAATTTGATTTATATGATTGGAATTGAACTTATATTTAAATAATGATCTTGTTTACTAGTACTTTTATTCATATAATCTAGAAATGAATCATATATTCTTCTTTATATTGAAATTTTTAATTGAAATCTTAAATTTAAAATCTATGACAAGATACATATATTCGTTGTACTTATGTTCTTTACGTTATTTCATTAATATTTAAACTATTCAAAATATTAATATCCATTTAATTTACATAAAATTAGTCATACAATGCATTGATATTAGTTTTTAAAAAGAGTTGAAATTATTATTCACCAAAATGTGCACATATTTATTAATACTTTACTTTTTTTTTTTTTTTTTAAATAAGTAACGCTTATTTTAATGAATGTTTAAAGAAAGATCATTTTTTTTATCATTTCGAATTCAAACAATTGAAATAAAAGTTGATATTTTAAATAGAAAAAAAAGTATGCGTAAACAATTTAATTTTTAACATTTTTTTTTTTAATACAACTTTTAATGATTCAGAGTGTGGAAAATAAAATTCCCAACCTTTTAAAGTTTTATAATAATAAAAAAAAATATAAAAGCTATGCTTATCAGTCGCTTTAACATAATTTTAAAAACTTTTTATCCTTTTCTTGGAAAGTCATGTATATATATATATTTTTGTAGCTTCCGTTTAAAAATGCAGAATTAAATATTATCCACTTTATTTATTTACCTCTTTTTGAGCTACTTTTAAATATTTTATTGTTTCTTTTTTAAAATTTCAAATAACAGCCAAATAATATTTTTTAATTATAGTTTTTATTTTGAAAAAAAATGTGTTTTTGTATACAATTCTTTGAAATTTTTATGTTTATCGTACATTATTGATACAATATCTAAGCACTGTAAAATACGTCCAAAAAAAAAAAAAATCGACATTTAACGCATTACTGTTAACAAACTAAACATGCATCTAAATCGTCATTTACAACCTTGAATAATTCTTCTTTAATGGTAAAAAAAAAAGAAAAATTTGTTTATTATCATTATTTTCAAAGACTGATAATGTTGACTTTCATGTTATCACTTTATTGTTAATTATCATTGATAATAAGAATATCAGAAAGTTAATTACTGTAGTTTGATTATTAGAGGATCGATATTATTATAATAGCAAAGACTAATTTTTAAAAGCTCTATCTGTTCTAAATTTTAATCTCTGAAGAAAATTTCTCTAATTTATTCATCTTCTTTTATTTTGATTTCATTTTTACTGAAATATTTTTTATTCAATTTTTTATTGAAAGGAATAATTTGTATGAAAATTTATTTTAAAGTAAACGGGCAGTTTTATTTTGAACAAAGTATACATTTTTTAATATATTCTATAATGATTCATTTAATGACACGCACCATATGTTTTAAAACTTTTATCAATTTTTAGGTCAAGTTAATCGTTTGACAATTAAAAATTTTTTTGTTTTAAATATTTCTGTGTATTGAAATTAACTTTTTTTCTAGTTCAATTCTTTTTTAATGAAAAAAAATACTCCTGATAATAATAATAATAATAATAATAATAATAATAATAATAATAATAAGTTCGAATTTAAGTATTAGTAAACAATGTCATGCATGTAAGTTATCTATAAAATGACAAAGCTCTTCCAGTATATTTTTAACTTATCTTCTTAATTATATTTATTGTAGGAAAAAAAAACGGTTAGTTAAAGTTGTTGATAGGTGAAATTTACTTTTTATCATTTTTATTGTCACGTCACCGTAACTTTTACATTCATCCTTTTAATCAATACCGAGTTATATGTCTCTGCGACAAGCACACGTGTGCTTTTCTCTTTCCGCCCCTTTTTTTTCGTGTAACTAAACATCTTTCTTTTATATATAAAAGACCCCTGCGTTTAGTATCCTTCTACGACAATCTACTGTATTTCTATTTCTGTATACATACAAATAGAAGCGAGAAATCTTTTATGATACCAGAAGAGCTCACACCCCCACAAAACAAAATGATCCCTTTCTAATTTTCCCTGTGCTAAAATCAAACGATGTAATAAATGCGCTCTTTCCAATTATCCTATGTGACGAACCCCTGTGGTATCACCACATTAGAAGAGTACAGCTGCAAATAATCATAGTCATACTTTCGTATCCTGAAGAAGCTGGTTCACACCCCCCTTTTTACGTTCAACTGAGAGAGAAGGACTGAACTTTGACTTCCAAAATTAGGGTGAAAATATATAGTAGGACAATAAAATTTTATCTATTCTCTTACGAAAACTCAGTATAAAAGGGCTACATTTTCATGGAGAGATCAGTTCTGGGATCCTCTTTATACGTATAACATCAACCAGTTCTGGGATCCTCTTCATACGTATAACATCAACTAGTTCTGGGATCCTCTTCATACGTATAACATCAACTAGTTCTGGAATCCTCTTCATACGTATAACATCAACCAGTTCTCAAAACATCTTCATACGTATAACATCTACTAGTTCTGGGATCCTCTTCATACGTATAACATCAACTAGTTCTCAAATCATCTTCATACGTGTAACATCTACCAGTTCAGAACTTTTCATCATACACGTTACTTCTACTTCATATTTGGTACCAGTTCACATACGAAATCTAGTACAAGCGTTGTTACTCTGCTCGATTTCATACTCAAGTTCGACTTAGAAGAATCTCTGTGTCAAGTGTTAAAATTTTCTACGTCAAGAAGAGCTGATTCAATCAACTGAACTCCGGACCTGTGGTCATCACCAAGGCCCGTCAACCTTCCTGTGAGCTCTCAAACTATATCTGGTACCAGAAGTTCCTATCATAATTAGGACACAGCAGTGGTCCTTTTTCATACATCTTACATCTAAATTTTCAAGTGGAATGCTGATTTCCCCTTATTTCAAGAATGGTTGCTTCAGGATACTCTCTCTCAAAGATCAATTTTATAACTCTAAATGTTTGTCTAAATAAATTTGTAACCTTGTCATTAAAAATCACTATTCTCTTTCTTTCCTGTACCCTTAGCTCAGAGCCTTTTGCTCTGTAAATGAAACAGGAATTCACTGAATCACCGAGCGGCCACAAATAAAATAAAATATTATTTCTTTAGTTATTTCTCTATTTGAGACGTAACAGAGGAAATATAATTTTTGGTGCATCGGCCGTTGTGAACAGGAAAGAGAATATAAATTTAAAATCTATGCACTAAAAATATAATTTTTGGTGCATCTTCCGTTGTGAACAAGAAAGAGAATATAAATTTAAAAACTATGCACTAAAAATATAATTTTTGGTGTATTGTCCGTTGTGAACAAAAAAGAGAATTTAAACTAATAATATAAAAATCGATGCATTAACAGTATAATTTTTGGTGCATCATTTGTTGTGATAAAAAGAAAAGAGAAATTAAAAAAAAAAAAAAAAATCATTTTTCCTTAAATAATTTCAAATATATAAATGAGAGAGAAAAATATCCTTGAACCAACAAATCTAGAAATTCCTTTATTAATTTTTTTATTTACACTCATAAACACAAATCAAAATTCTAAGTGAAAGTGCTACAAAAGTGAAATAAAAAGCTTAGTTATGTCGTTACCTAATAATCAACAAGTATCTCTTCGCGACGCGTTAGAATTAGTGCCTGTGTTCGATGGAAAAAATATTCCAGTAGTTTCATTTATAGAAGGTTGCCATGAAGCAAAATTAATGTTGCCAGATTCACCCCAAGTGGAGGAAAATTTAGTAAAATTAATTCGTGGAAAGTTAAAAGGAGAAGTTAGAAAATCAATATCGGGAAATATTTTTAAAACAATTTTGGAGTTAGAAGCTTATTTAAAGAAGATATATTTACCAAATAAAAGTATCTATCAATTGCAAGGAGAGTTAGGAAATATTTTTATGAAGGAAAGTGAAAGTGTCATATCGTATGCGAATCGAGTAAAAGAATTATCGGATCAGATTTTTGACTCATACAGATTATCGAGTAAAGACGGTAAATTATCCGAAACGATGTTAAAAAATTTAGAAGTAGATATAATATCCTGTTTTCGTCGAGGGCTACGTCCAGAATTAGAGATTCGAATTCCAGATTGCATAACTTTAAAAGAAACAACAAACAAAGCATTAGAGGCAGAACGAAAATTAAATGCGGTTGTAGAGCTTAGAAAAGAAAATTCTTGTAGGCCAAATAATGCAAAAATTACATTTGCTAGTACAGATATAGTAGTATGTCAAAATTGTAATGTAGAAGGACATACTTCACGCACTTGTCGTAGGTCAGAAAAAAATCAATACTCAGCACAGCATAGGTACCAGCGCTCCGTATTCCGCATGAAGCAGAGACCACCTGTCTATTATCTAAGAAGAGGGATGTCCCCCTCGTTTAGTGAACAAAAGCATTCCCCTTTACAATTACGATTCTCGGGTTTTCCCCAAAATTTACATAATAGAACAAACTCACAATTTCCAAATAAAAATGATTTTCGTACTAATCAACAAAATAGATTTTTTAATGTTACTTGTAAATATTGCAAAAATCGTGGGCATGTTATTAAAAATTGCAGAAAAAGAGAATATAATAATTATAATCAAGGTCAACAGTATCGATCATCCACTTTAATGAACCAGGGAAACGAATAATACCTTCCCATATCGGGTACGATGGGACAGGTGCTAACAGAAAAAGCGTGCCTAAAAAGCAAATATCTGAACATTTAGAAACTATTCAAATCAATTGTACTAAAGGAAATATGATACCATCTATTTATGTTAATACAGTTTCTAAACCACTTCATTTAATGATTGATACAGGAGCAGGATTAAATCTTTTAAAAGAAAAAATGCTTGATTCTACAATGACTTTAAATAA